GGGTCGAAAACTCCTGAGCTCAAGGAATTCCCCCCACCCCCCATCCCGGGCCTCCCAGAGTGCTGGGATTACAGGCATGAGCCACCATGCCCGGCCAATATGTGCAAATTAAACACCACATTTGAATAATCAATGGGTAAAAGAAGTCACAAGGGAAATTATACATACAATGAGACTAAATGAAATCACAGCATAATTATGGATGCAGTGAAAGTAGTCCTAAGTTTATAGCTATAAACAAGTACACTAAAAAAGAAAAAATATCTTGAATCAACCACCTAACTTTACACATCAAGAAACTTGAAAAAGCAAACTAAACCCAAAGCTAGCAGAAGGAAGGAAATAATAAAGATCAGAACTGAGATAAATTAAAGAAGAGAATAGAAAAACAATAGTTAAAAAAACCCTAAGAGTTGATTTTTTTGAAAAGATCAACAAAATCAACAAAGCTTTAGCTAGATTAAGTAGGAAAAAGAGAGCAAAGACTCAACTAAAATCAGAAATGAAAGAGTAAGTATTACAATTGATGCCACAGAAATAAAAAGATTTTAAGATAATACTATGAACAATTCTATGCAAAGAAATGCATAGAAATAACCTAGAAGAAATGGAAAAAATTTTCACAACCTATTAAGAATGAATCATGATGAAATAAAAAATCCGAAAAGATGAATAATGAGTTAAAATTGGTTTAGTAATCAAAAACCTCCCAACAAAGAAAAGTCCAGATGGCTTCACTGATGAATTCTACCAACCATTAAAGAAAAATTAGCACCAATCCTCCTGAAATTCTTCCAAAAAAACTGAAGAGGAGGGAACAATTCCAAGCTCATTCAATGATGCCAACATTAATTATCCTGATACCAAAGCCATACAAAGACACTTCAAGAAAAACAAAATGCAAAATAAAACAAAAACTATTGGCCGATATCCCTTACGAATATTTAATGCAAAAGTCCCCAACATATTAAAAGAAAATACAATTAAACAGCACATAAAAGGTTTACCAAGTTTATTCCCTGAATACAACTATTGTTCAACATACAAAAATTAGTTAATATAATATATCACATTAACATTCTAAAGGTATCTCATTAAAATTTGCTTTAAGATAGAATAAAGTAATGCATTATTTGAAAAAAAAAAACATACCGAAGGACAAAACCACATGATTATCTCAATTGATATGGAAAAAGCATTTGACAAGATTCAACACCCTTTCATAATAAAAACACTCAACACTCAACAAACTCGGAATAGAATAAAACCGCCTCAACATAATAAAAGCCACATATAACAAGCCCACAGCTAACATACTAAATGGTGAAAGACGGAAAGCTTTTCCTTTAAGATGAGAAACAAGACAAGGTTGCCTACTCTCATCACTTCCATTCAATATATAACAGTACTGGAAGTCCTATACAGAGCAGTCAGGCATGGAAAAGAAAGGAAAAAAGTATCCAAAATGGAAAAGAGGTAAAATTAACTCTATTCACAGATGACAAGATTTTTTATGTAGAAAACCCTCAAGATTCCATTAAAAAAAATTGTTAGGACTAAGGACCCAGTTCATCGAGTCACATGATACAAACGGAACACACAGTCTGGAGAGGGGACACAGACTTCAGATCCCCACAGTACTGTACAGTGGCTTGAGAACACATCCTCTCTGTGTCTTGGTTTCCTCATCTCTAGGATGGAGCTAACAGTAGCACCTTCTTGAAAGCACCGGGGTGAGGGTTAGGTGACCATCAACCTCCTTGCTTAATATTTTTAGCAGACTAGGACATTCAAACTGAAGCTTGGAGAAAGGGGAAAGGAAAGGAAAATAAAGAGGTGCAGAGCATCTCAGGGTGAGCCAGCATGGGGGCTCTCACTAACTTCTGGGGTGCTCTTTTTGGTTTGGCTTCTGGGCACTCCCTTCTCTGGCCCACAACAAACACGCATTTGCTAAGCTGCCTCCTCAATCTCAGTCTGCCCAAAGTTCCAAGTTGGGATAGGGAACAAAGCCTTCCGCAGAGAAGGCACAGGAAGCCTATGTCCAGGAGGCAGTGGCTAGTCACCAGACAGAACTAGTCTTCGCATGCCAGAGTCAGTGTCATCTGCCCCCCGCCACCATTAGTTTTCGTGCTGATTCTCACAGACCTCCAATAAAGGATCCCTGCTCAAACCTATTTGTGGAAAAATGGTTTTGTCTTGGGTCTGCAGTTTTCAGCTTATGAGGCAATCGGGGCCTGGCTTGCTCATTTGTTCATTGACTGATATAGTACTGAGTCCTTACTACCCACACCTGGGGGGAGAGGCCCTGAGACTCTCCTGCAAGGAGCCACAGGGTAGTGGGGAAACTGCACAAGGCGATGAGACAGGGTGGCAACCAAAGGCAGAATTCTACAGGCAGCTTTTCCTGCAGGTTCTTGGGAGGATGGCACAGATTCAGGTCACCAGCCTGCCTGTGGCTGGGGGTGGGACAAGGCTGGGGCCTTCAGGTGGGGCCACAATGCCCAGGAAACAAAAAGACAGGGAAGGTCACTGATAGAGTGGGGTGGGACACTGCCAGGAGGGCATTGGGTGGGCCAGGGTTGTGGCACAAAGGGCAGAGAACAATCATTGAGGACAGAGGGGGTCCAGCTAAAGAGCTGGAGATGCCATGTGTTCTGGGGAGCAAAGCAGTGTGCCAGAGGGTGCTTTCATAGGAATGGGCCTAAAGAGGCACCAGGGAGAAGGTAAGGGGTTTAGCCTGTAATACCTTGATCCCAGCCATATAATTCAGTCCCTCTGTGGTTTACTTTCTCTATTTATAAGAGCGACCCTGGTCCCAGGCTCCCCTATGCATGACCTCGAAAGGACACACAAACTAGCAGTGTCCCCAGTGCTCTCAACACCTCACCCCATCACGTACCAAGGACAGAAATTCAAGGTACTGAACACTTTTGTCTAAGTAAGCCTTAATTATTTGGCAGGGTGGTTGGAGACCCTGCCTGAGAGGTAGCTCATCTTTGGGAAGGGGCTCAAACTCATGAGTCTAGCGCAGCCTTTCCTGTCCCCCTATGCATCCTCAGCCCTGGCACCCTCACATCCTCATGTGAGTGGCAGCTTCATGTCTGACCCAGGCAACTCCATGTGACCCCTGAGAGCTGGGTGAGTGGGGGTCCAAGAAATGTGCTGGTGAAATATGGCCTTAATCTTTCCTTAATGCCTTACCTTTATTATTTTTCAGCTTTCTTCTAGCTAATTCCTACTGTGCAGAGCCCAGCTTGCCCACCTGAGGTGTGTATACACCTGCATCACTGCCCCCTACCCATGTCAGTACCCCTTATTCTACTTTGGGATACAGGGAAATGAGGTCTAGGGTCCCAAGCTCCTGGCCCAGTGCCTTATACTGAGAACAGGCTAGTGTGTGGTGGGCAGTGTTGCACCCAGGAACCCCAAAACAGAGAAGACAAACACTCTTATCAGTGATGGGCACATTGCAGTCTTCCTATTAGAGACATCAAAACCTGGGCCTTTCCCAACAAAGACTCTGGCTCTTGGTACATCCTGGAACCTGAGTCCCCGGGCCTAGGGGTCTGGATCATCCCCAGCACCTGGAGGCTGAGGCAGCCAGCTCAGTCCTGGTTGGAGCACATCTCAAGAGCCTCAGGGGGTGTGACTGCTATTAACCAGGTCTTTCATTTTCTAGGTTCTGATGCTCTGATATCTGGGCCTTGCTGATACTGGGGGGACTGCCCCTCCCAGGACCAGTCAATTCCTAGAGACAGTAAAGGACTTTACCTGTGGTCACATCTTTCAAATTCACCCCAACCAAGACAGAGCCCACATACCCCAACCTCCTCCATGGGGCTCTCACACTCTGGGCCACCCCCACCTCATCATTCCTGGGCATGACAACTAGGGATAGCCCTTGTTCCCAGAGCCCACTGAAATGGTAGCGGATTCAAAGGCTGCTTACTCCAACTCACCCATTTCTTTCCATGGAAACTTCAATAAAGTTTCCTGTCCACATTTTCCCCTTGCTCCTTCTGCCTCCTGACCAACCCAGCACTTCCTATGTGGCCCCCATAGCATGGTGTGCCCTGGCCTCCTGGATCTATGAGAAGCAAACTATCCTTAATCTGTTGGCTTTACTATACCTGAGTAATAATAAACCTACAGTAAAACACAGCCCCAGGCTTTCCCCCTTGGAGTTGGCTCACAGCAGCCCAGACATGCAACCTTCACAACCCCCAAACCAAGCCTGTCTCCTGTCACCACCCAGAGCCAGTAGTTCTGACTCATCAAATGCTCTTAGGACCTGGTCACTTGGCAGCTTACCCATGCTGTGACCTCAATGCACACATGGTTTCTCTAAGCCTGGGGAAATCTACTGCATTTCCTTCTCCTTCTGGATCCCAGAGCCCAGAAAATGCTAAAGAGAATGCAACTTCTCTCAAGTCAGATGCACCATGCCACAGACACCTGCTACCAGGAGCACTCTGTTGTGGCCTCCCAGGCCGTAGGCCTCTCAGGTCCTGCCCACATCCTGAGGAGTACAAAGCTCCTCCTGGCCTATGCCACCCCCCATGGGTGACCTTCAGCAGGGGCATGCTCTCAGTGTCTCAGTTTCCCCATTTGGAAAAGCAATTTTCCCTATTTATGCTGCCTCATAGGAATTCTGCAAGGTTGGCAGTGGGAACCCTGGGAAGGGTGGTTGTGGGAGGCACCACCAGCAAGACTGGCCATTATACCTTCCTGAGGCAAAGGATGCGTCCACCACACAGACATGAAAACCGAGGCTCAGGAGTCATTGCCCAAGGTATCAGGTTGGCCTGCTCTGGCCTGTGTGAGTCCTTCTCATGGGCTTTTCCCAGAGACCCCGTCATGCAGCCTCTGCTTGCACAACACAAGCCTGTGCACCTCATTCCCAAGAACAAGGAGTGGGGTGATGCCCACAGCAAATCTCAACACCCACCTCCCACAGAGAGCCCTGCAGCCTGTGTCTGGAACAGAGAAGGGGAGCCTACCTGAGCCAGGCTGGCAACCTTGTCAGCCCTGGGGGCAGAGTTCTCAAGATCGGGTTCCTCACCCACGTCACTGTCAGCCTCCTCCTGGGGAGTGTCCTGCAGGACCTGGCTGTGTGGGGCTGTCTCAGGGTTCAATCCCAGCACTGCAGGGCCTGGGCTGGCCTCACTGCCCTCCTCAGAAGGGAAGTTCTCTCCAGCCATGCTGGAAGATGGGCTGTCAATTCCGCTGTCCCGGTTGGGGATCTTCATACCACTGCTCAGCTCCCCAACAGGGCCAGTATCTGGGGAACTGTCCCCTGCTGCAGCTGGGCTACCAGGGTCCCTGCAGTGAGCCCGAGGCCCAACAGGGAGTGCTCGGAGCTTGCCCAGAGAGGAGCTGCCAGGCCCAGCATCTGTCATCCCCAGAGCAGCAGGGAGTCCTGGAGGGGTTGAGGACGTTCCACCTGACTCCATCCTCAAAGCTGAGCTCACTGGGCTCTGTCGGAGTTTGGACCAGCACTTCCTAGAAAGGAGAAAGGAACCTGGCTCAATGTTAACCAGCTATAGGCCAGTACTCCAGGTGCAGTACCCTCAGATGCATCTCCTGGGCATTACCCCCAGGAAAAAGCCCCAAGAACAACCTGATCAGCTTTGGTTGGGTCCTGTCCAGATAGGCTTTTGAGGAATGGAAAATGGAAAATGTTTTATCTTAAAATTAAGTTTATTTGACATAAAAAAAAGTAATCTTGGCTCGGTGCCTATAGCTCAACCGGCTAAGGCGCCAGCCACGTACACCTAAGGTGGCGGGTTCGAATCCCCAGCCCGGACCCACCAAACAACAATGACGGCTGCAACCGGCAAAAAAAGAAATAGCCGGGCGTTGTGGCGGGCGCCTGTGGTCCCAGCTACTTGGGAGGCGGAGGCAGGAGAATCGCTTAAGCCCAGGAGTTAGAGGTTGCTGTGAGCTGTAATGCCACGGCACTCTACCCAGGGGGACAGCTTGAGGCTCTGTCTCAGAAAAAAAAAAAGTAATCTTGTAAGATGAAGCTACCTATTATTTAATAAATTCAGACTTGGCACCTATAGCACAGTGGTTACAGAGCCAGTCACATACACAGAAGCTGGCGGGTTTGAACCTGGCCCAGGGCAGCTAAACAACAATGATGATAACTGCAACAAAAAATAGTCAGGTGTTGTGGCCCGAACCTGTAGTCCCAGCTACTTGGGAGGTGGAGGCAAGAGAATCGCTTAAGCCCAGGAGTTTGAGGTTGCTGTGAGCTGTGACACCATGGCACTTTACCAAGGCAACATAGTGAGACTCTGTCTCAAAAATAAAATAAAATAAAATAAATTCAAAACACATGCACGAAATAGTGACAGGAACTGGCAGGAGCAACACAGCTTTCGTTTATACAGCATTTTCATGGACGTGGTGCTGCTGCATCCTAGAACACTCCCAGGAGATGAGGCTAGTATCCTCATCGCAGCCTCCTCCTCCTCACATCATACTGTCTGTAGGACAAGAGGGAAAACAGCCTCTAGAGGGCCCAGGCCCTGGCTGTCCCATCACGTCCACAGGCTGAGACAGCAGGTAGGTTTTGCCCAAGGGCATTGACTGAGACTTTTGTCCTAGAACTCCTCCTCCCATGCACTGGGACCACCTGGCATTTGCCCCCCACACCCCTCCTAGAACACTCGAAGGGAAGGCAAATTCAAAAGCCAATTCTAAGTGTACAGGGAGTTTACTGGGCTCCTCTGAAGAGAACCCAGCGTGAGATTACACCTGAAATCGTCCTCTTGAATCCAAGATGCAGGGCAGAGGAGCAGGGGCTTCAAATGGCAATCACCTATCCCCCTACCTGACGCCGTCCGATGAGGGTGCTGAAGTTGGCAAGTAGGCAGGAGGCCAGCAGAGGCCCACACAGGGCTGGAGGGACTAACTCCTTGGAAATCTGTCTTGCCCAGTAGGTTTGAAGGGGAGCTGAAAAAACATTAGAGAAGAATAAAAACCATTTTCTCCAACTGGCCTTTGAAACAGCTGGAGGTACTAATTCTAAAGGGAGGGGTGGAAGAGGGCAGTTCCATGCCACTGCCCAGCCCAGAGGACCCAGGCATCCACCCAGCCATGTCCTTGGCCACTAGGCCAATATACACGACCCTGAGAAGGTCAGGGCCAGGCCCAGTGGCCACACACCAAAGTGGGCAACATTTTGGCTCAGCTTGAAAGTCGGTCTGGGGCTATGCAGTGCCCTATGGCCACGGGCAAGTTTACCTGAATGTGTGAGAAGGGCCAGCAGGCATCACCACATCCCTCCCCAGCCCACATGCCACACCCTCACCCAGTCACATGCACATAGCAGCCCCCTCGCACACTCACACTCAGTACTCTGCTAGCAGCTTCTGTACATGCTCCCTTCCCTACTTGCTGGGCAGAATAAAGAACGATCAGTGAGGAAACACTGCACTCAGGCTTCACACACTGACATGCACACAAAGAAAAAGCTGTCCCAGATCTTGCCCTTGCTGCCTTGGGCAGGCAGATGTGCCTCCGGGCAGAGGGAGGGTTGGGGTCAGGCTCCAACAGAGTTTCCTGTGGCTGTAGAACCCGACAGACTCCATGAGCAGAGCTTCCCTTCCTGCCAGGAACAAGCTCCTGGGCCCTTGATCTCGTATGGGAGAACTACTTTTGAGTGGACCTTTCTTCAAGTGACTCCAAACATCACTCAGGTGGGGGTTCATCACTGGCTATGGCCACATTCTTAGCCAGTTTAATGGGGTGCAATCTTAAGACTTCTAAACAGAAAATACATGTTTTGCTGCATTCTTCTCATAGCATGAGAGATAAACTCAAGTTTCCAGAAGTCAGACATGACACAGCAGTAAGAATACACCAGATGGAATGTGAGCTGGGCTCAGCCTCAGTGTGTTCAAAGGCAGCTGCCTGGCAAGGCAGAGCTTGGTTCTACCCCACCTTAGGGAAACTATGTTTATGGCTAAGAAAGAGTAACAGAAACCAGATTTACTCTCACCTGAAACAACAAAAAAACAGACAAAAACATAAGAAACAATGGTTTGCAAGCCACTGCACCAGGCAGCAAAGCACTGTGATCCCAGAGACATGAAACAAATGAGGCAAGCCCTCCTGCTGCCCCAGCTCACTGCCTAGAGACCATTTCCAGGCTGTGGATCAAAGAAAGAAAGCCCAGTGGACCCTCTGAGTTGATAAGGCAGAACTGGAGGTCCCAGGAAACCAAGGTGGACAGAGTTCACAGGATGCAGCCTTGGCGAGGAGAGAGTTCTGCACAGAGAGACAACCCTGAGATCTGCAGAGGGGACCCTCAAGGACTGTTCAGCACATGTGAGAGGAAACTACAAGAAGGTAAATGGCTCGGCGCCTGTGGCTCAAGTGGCTAAGGCGCCAGCCACGTACACCTGAGGTGGTGGGTTCAAATCCAGCCAGGCCTGCCAAACAACAATGACAGCTGCAACCAAAAAATAGCCAGGGGTTGTGGTGGGCGCCTGTGGTCCCAGCTACTTGGGAGGCTGAGGCAAGGGACTTGCGTGAGCCCAGGAATTAGAGGTTGCTGTGAGCTGTGATGCCACAGCACTCTACCCAGGGGGACAGCTTGAGGCTCTGTCTCAAAAAAAAAAAAAAAACAGCTATTATGCCCATATTCTCTATGTTCAAAAGTAGAAACACAGAAGAAATAAAAAAGACTCACATCAAACTGGAAACCACAAAGTGTGACACGAAAGACACCCTGGAAAAAATTAATAGCAGATTAGAAATTGTAAAAGAAAAATTAAATTAAATTAAATTTGAAGAGGCAGCAATAGAAACTATCCAAAATGAAGCAGGACAGAGGGGAACAGAGCATTAGTGAAATATGGGAAAACTTCAAGCAGCATAACCTATGTGTAATTGGTGTCCCAAAAAGGAGTAGGCAGAAAAATATTTGAAGAAATAATGGCCAAAGTTTCTAGATTGTTTTTCCAGATTTGACGTAAACTACAAATCCCTATATCTAAGAATTATAATAAATACCAAGTACTAGAAACATCTGTAGTTAAAATATTTACATGTGGAAAACTCTAGGCTTAGAGATCGTCACTGGTGAATTCTCCCAAATATTTTGGAAATAGTACTAATTCTACACAAGCCTTTCCAGAACCTCAATAAAAAGGGAATATACATCTGCAATTCTAGAAACAACTATGCCAAGTAAAATGAACTAGGCAAAGAAGAAGACCCACTGTGTTTTTTCATTTATATAGAAGTAGGAAATGCAAACTAGTCTACAGTGACAGGAAGCAGATCAGTGGGTGTCTAGAAGGACGGCCTGTGGTGGGGAGGGTTACAGAAGAGCATAAGGAGATGCTGAGAGATATGCTCATAGCCTGATTGTTTCTCAGGCATAGGCCTATGCTAAACAAGTTAATGACGCAATTAATTGTATGTCAATTTTACCTTATAGAGGCTTGGCATCTATAGCTCAGCAGCTAGGGTGCCAGCCACATACACCAGAGCTGGCAGGTTCGAATCCAGCCCGGGCCTGCCAAACTACAATGACAACTACAACCCAAAAATAAAAAAGATAGCCGGGCATTATGGCGGGTTCTTATAGTCCCAGCTACTTAGGAGGCTGAAACAAGAGATTCCCTTAAACCCCAAGAGTTTGAGGTTGCTGTGAGCTGTGATGTCACGCACTCTATCTAGGATACAAAGTGAGACTCCATCTCAAAAAGAAAAAATTTTACCTTATAGGGCTGTTTAAGAAAAATCCCACCCTTACCACCTTTCTGTAGCAGGAACTTGGTGAGTTGTGAACATTCCTCAGCATCACTTTCCGCTCCATAGAAGGGAAGATGGATCATAGTAGGAGGCAAGAAGGTGTGTAGCCACAGCCTAGGGAAGCTCAAGCAGCCCAGGGCCTGCCTAGACATTCCTGTACAGAGGAGAGAGGAGTGCCGTGCTCCTTGGGGGCCCTTGAATGATATTTCCATGGAAGGGCTTCTGTAGAATGCTCACCTCCAACTTTGCATTTGTAAATTTGCATTTCAAATATTTGTGCTGCAGATTGAATTGTGTCTTTGTGTTGCCCCAAATTCACACACTGAAGTCTTTTTTTTTTTTTTTTTTTTTGAGGCAGAGCCCCAAGCTGTTACCCTGGGTAGAGTGCTGTGGTATCACAGCTCACAGCAACCTCCAACTCCTGGGCTCAAGCAATTATCCTACCTCCACCTCCCTAATAGCTGGGATTACAGGCACCCAGGGATTAGCACCGGCTATTTTTGGTTGCAGCCGTCATTGTTGTTTGGTGGGCCTGGGCTGGATTAGAACCCACCAGCTCAGGTGTATGTGGCTGGTACCTTAGCTGCTTGAGCCACAGGCGCCGAGCCCACACACTGAAGTCTTAACGCCTAGCTAGCAGCTTAGGATGGGACCTTATTTGGAGACAGGATCTTTACAGGGGTCATCAAATTAAAGTGAAGTCTTTAGGGGGA